TTAGTTTGACAACCATCTGAATCGTTCTTATTTGCTGTCTGTCACCACATAAATCATAGCCTCTTACGACCTCTTGTGGACAAATCACGTAACGATATTGAAGAATCCATGCTCTAAAGGTGACTATGTACACAAGTTAAGGCTGCTCTGTGCCAACTCAAAATTCAGTGTAAAATATAGATGCCGCATAAAAACCAGACTAAATTATGCCTGCTCTGAGCCACAGCACACGTCTGCCAGATGTCTGTTAAAGATCACTTCATCTGGAAAGCATCTGCTGTGTACAAACGTCTGCTAGACATCTTTAAGATGTCAGTTTTACGTATTCTAAATCATAAACATCTGATAGACATCTTTAAGATGTCAGTTTTACGTATTCTAAATCATAAACATCTGATAGACATCTTTAAGATGTCAGTTTTACGTATTCTAAATCATAAACATCTGATAGACATCTTTAAGATGTCAGTTTTACGTATTCTAAATCATAAACATCTGATAGACATCTTTAAGATGTCAGTTTTACGTATTCTAAATCATAAACATCTGATAGACATCTTTAAGATGTCAGTTTTACGTATTCTAAATCATAAACATCTTATAGACATCTTCTAAACATCTATTTGCCATCTGATAAGAAACGTCCTATAGATGTATTGCAGATGAGCAAACACTCTAAAAAATAGTCTTGCAGATGTTAATGCAGACGACAAATAGACGTCTCCGTGATGTACGTGTGCTATCAGGGCTCTAGCACCACAGTATACAGCTGTAATTGCTGTGTAAATGCATTTATGCCACCTCTGAGCAGCATTAAATAGTCTGTGTAAAGACACCTTGATAAAGCGCTTTTATGCCCCCAAATTTCCAGTAAGCAATAAATTAATTTTATTTCTAGTTATATTTTTTTAGAACAGTCGATAGATATTTTACACTTATTAATTCAGCAGGTGTTTTATTAAAGCGGCTCAATTTCACTGTTGCATATTACTGGCTGGCACAAAAACAGTGTCCATGTTATCGGTAGTAGTGCAGCGAGAAACAACTAATGCAGCGATTCAAGAGATTTTTAGTACAACTCCTGAGCACCATCTCGCAGAAATGTGCAAATATTTTGGACGGGCTATTTACAAAAGTGACTGCAGAAAATACAAAATGCAGTCATTTCCCAGAGGTACACATGCACTGCGAATATTTACATAGGCTAGTTGACATTTTTCAGATTTGTGGTACTCATATTAACAGGCCTCTTCAGAAGAAAGCAACACATTTTACTTGTCTAAAGGAGATTAACAAGTTACATAACACCTGCTTGAATGATCACATAGTATTAAACTATTTCTCAAGCACAAAACTATGCCCGGTTGTATCTATGCTGCGCTAGCGATCTCTTGTGGATTAAGTTTGTATTGATATATATATATATATATATATAGATCAGTGGTATTGTCGGTTATATAACAGTCATGAAAAATATCATAAAAAATAATCAAAAATATAACGTTCATGTTCACCTGTTTACCCAACAGCTATCATATATATATATATGTAGTTGTAGTATATATGTATATGTAGTTACTGAGAGTTTTAGTTTTCGAGAATTAAAAAAAGGTCATGTTTACTCACAAGGAGTCACACAGCCTTCATTGCGCAATACATGAAGGCAGTGAAGGCCATTAAGATAATAACTTGAGAAGACAAGCATAGTTAATGCAGCAGCCGAGGAGAAAATTGGAACCAATGTCAACAACTTCAAGAATTAATTGATTTGTTTCTTTGACCTAATTTAATAAATCACTCTCTTTTTGAAGTATATCCTTGAATTTCTCCTCACATGTCAGTTCAGTGAATCTTTCCAAAGATACATAGGACTTGCAAATGTTATGCTTTTATTGTAATTTTATGTTTACACTGACACCATTTTATGTCAGTTTACGAAGTTGTGACTTGACGTAGGAAATGAACAAGGACAACCCTAGAAGTCGTACATGTTTTTGGTAGGTTTTTAAAACTAACCTGCAGCAAAATTATCATCAAAAGGCATTTGAGACTTGATTTGGACTTGAAAGACATGAAATTTGACTTGGACCTCTTGTCAAAAACCACGTCTGGTTTCAACACATGTACAGGACGTTCCCTTAACTACCAGTGTTGGGGAAAATTACTTTGAAAAGTAATAGATTTCAATATTGCGTTACTCCAAAAAAGTAACTGAGTGAATAAATTGGAAAGGAAAGTAACTTGCTTTACTTAATTGAAAAATTAACTCAGATATTTAATTGTAAATTAAAAAGTAACATGTTACTTTACTAGTTACTTGAAAAAGTAATCTGATTACATAACTCGCGTTACTACCCCCAACACTGTTTACAACCACACATTCTTAAAACTAAAGGTGCTTCACGATGCCATAGAAGAACCTTTTGTTTTAAATGGTTCCATAAAAAAACTTTCTGTTTCACAAAAGGTTCTTTGTGGCGAAAGAAAGTTCTTCAGATTATAAAAAGGTAAGAAAGAGATGGTTCTTTAAAGAACCTTTGACTGAATGGCTCTTTGTGGAACCAAAAATGGTTCTTCTATGGCATCGCTGTGAAGAACCTTTTGAAGCACCTTTATTTTTAAGAGTGCAGAGCCAAACACTCTCAAAATCTTTAATTCAAAGGTTTATATGACTGACACATCGAAGTCAAATATCCTGACACTGATACCATAACACAGCTTACAACACGAGTGTATTTTCCTCAGGTCCAGATTTGCCTACTTTGGCTACTCCAAGCCAGAATAAACCTGACTGTTCTCGCAAACTTTCAAAAAAAACCAACTTCCCGTTTAGATTTTAAATTTAGAGAAATTCCCTCAAACCTTTTTTATATCTCGGAAAAGCTGATTGAACTGGACGAAACCGCAGCGCATGTTAACACAGCGTCCAGCCCACAGACACAAAGAACGTCTCTATGTCTGGACATGACAAATAGCACCTGTCATCAGGCGATTGATTCAAAGCCCTAGTATTGTTAAAATGCAAACTGGTTTTACAACTTGGACACATAAATGCAGCCAGCTAAAATAACAAGTGTGTCCCATTCACCGCGGGACCGAGGCAAATACAACAAACAATCATATGTTGTGTAACTTCTGAGTGACATTCTGAATTCCGAAGCGGCTTTTGTTGAAATTTTGAAATTGTATATACAGCTACCTTTCAGGATTTGCTATGACCAAATCAACCAGTTTTCAGAAAGCTGCATCTGTGTCTTCTAATATAAAAAGTTCACCAAGTACTTCTTTCAGTACAGTGCACTTTTCACTGCTGTTTGGATAGGGCTGCAGAGAGGATGGGCGAACTCAAAAGCAAAACAAACACAGCCTCCCCTTCTTATTGGAATAGACTCATGCCTAAAATAATGAGCTAAACTAATAAACAAACTCCAGCGAAGATGTTTCTGTCTACACTATAGCTGCATTCCTCCTCGACTCCTGCGTGAACTTTTTCCGAAATGCTAAACAAAGAAGAAACTGTGTTTTGTAACACGATTTTGCTAGAAACACTTGAAGCATGACTAGGCAAAAATTAACAAATAAATCAATTGTTATGCATTAAGTAAAGAAACATTAGATAGAACAACATCAATGAAACATTTGCATTTCATATATACAGTACTGTGCAAAATTCTTAGGCCACTAGTATTTTACCAACAAAAAATGGTTTTCAGTCAGTTATTTCTATCTTTTGCTGTAGTGTGTCAGTAGGAAATATCAGTTTACATTTCCAAACATTGCTTTTGCCATTAATTGTAATAATCCAGTGATATTTTTGTATGAACAACAGCCAGTGCTCCACACAGAGATCTGATCTGATCATCATCAGTCTGTCTGAGATTACATGAAGAAACAGAACAAACTGAGACAGACTCAATCCAGAAGAACTGTGTCTCCAAGACGCTTCAAGAGACCTCCTGCAAAACTACAATACTGAGGTTTTAGGCACTTGTGTAAAAATGCTGTAAAATGAGAATGCTTTCAAAAATAATGTCTTAGATGTTATTTATTAATTCACTTCTATTAACTAAATCAAATCAATATTTGGTGTGACCAGTGTTGGGGAAAGTTACTTTTAAAAGTAATGAATTACAATATTGCGTTACTCCATAAAAAAGTAACTAATTACGGTACTTAGTTACTTTTTTTTATGGAAAGTAATGCGTTACGTTACTTTTGCGTTACTTTTTAAATCTGGACAGGGCTTGCTTGTTTGTAAAGTAATCTGATTACGTAACTCGCGTTACTTGTAATGCGTTACCCCCAACACTGGGTGTGACCACCCTTTGCGTTTAAAACAGCTTTTGTACGAGGTGCACTTGCACATAGTTTTTCATATATATATATGTATGTATGTATGTACTGTATATATGTGTGTGTGTGTGTGTGTGTGTGTGTGTAAATGATGTGATAAAATTAGTTGAAATAATGTCCTACAATGTCTGATAATCTGTTAAAATGTCTGTTAAAGTTGGCATAACAAGCCTGTTAAATACTATAAAATAATTTTTCTTTCCAACATAACTTACAAATAAACCTGTTTGGTTGTATCCACTCTGGTTTTCCAAATCTACATAAAACCACTAGAAAAACACCCTCGTGTATGACAGCCAACTGCAATCAACAAAAGTAAATTACCCTTTTAACAGAAATGTAAGATATGATAAGATAACATACAATAACAATATAACAGTATTACAATATATAATATAAAGGATAATATAATATAATATATATCTGCAGTGCACAATATCACTGGTGTGGAAAATAAAACATCTGTTTTATTAATAACTGTTAATAACTTTATCAGAGAGTCCAATAAGAAAAACAGTAATACAAACGTTTAATAAAATTGATGTCGTCTGAATTTCTTTCTCCTGGCACTTTAAAAAAAAAAAGAATAATGCGTAGTGGTCGGTATTCCCGACTGACTTACGTACGCTTGTGCGCAATCCACCCATAGCTCAGCGCGTGCGCTACGTAGCCATCTTGTGTAGAGCAGAGGAAGCGGAGCTGTTAGCTCGAGATCTGCGCTGACAGCAGACGGACTGACAAACAAACCGTCGCTCTGCTCCCGACAGACTCCGCTAGCGCCAGAAACGGATAGTAAACATGCGTTACTACGTGTCGAGATGTCTATCTGATGTGTTTCACGGAGGATGTGAGCTTCTGAAGAAGGGAGAGTGTTGAGAACCGAAGGCGCCTCAGAGTCGCGTTGAGTCCGGAGACTGGAGCATTTCAGCGGCCTGACGGAAACTCCCACACCGGGGCATGGCCTTCGTTTAGGCCACGGAGAATAGAGATACGGGCTCGGAAGGATTAAACACAGCTGGAATAAAGCTGCCATTGTGTTTGGAGCTTCAATTTAAAGGATTTAAAGGAGTGAAAATGCCGCGATGAGGGCGTCCTGAGTTAGCGTGACGTTAACTGAAAATTACATGACATATTTTCATACACATTGCGTTACTACGCTTACATTGGAGCTGTGCGCTTCAGTCTGACGCGTTGCGATCAGAGCAACGCGCTTAAAGCTGTCAACATGTCTAAAATGCTGTCGAAAAAGAAGAGCTGTTTTCAGATCACCAGCGTAACGCAGGCTGCGCAGGTGGCCGCCAACAGCAACACGGACGACACCGAGAGTTTAGACGACCCGGACGAGCCCAGAACTGAGGACATGTCCTCATCCGAGATATATGACATGTCCAAAGCTGGAGACTTCGAGCCGGAGGCGTGTGATGTCAGTTTGTCGGATGAATCGCTTCATAACGATGCTGAAACATCTGGCCAAGAGGGTCCCATGACGACCATACCTGGTTCTCCTAGCCCAGGTGCTGTTCATATAAACCCAAATGTCCGTGCATTAGGCGGGACCATATCTTCCCAGTCTTCAGGTTCAGCTGCATCTAATGCACCATCCAGCACATCACAGACTTCATCGGTTAGCAGTTCTGCCACAGTAAGTAGCTGCAGCTCCCGTTTCAGGGTCATCAAATTAGATCATGGTACGGGCGAACCCTTCAAAAGAGGTAGGTGGACTTGCACTGAGTTTTATGAGCGAGATACGGATGCTTCCTCGTCCGCGCGGACTGTGGATAACGTCAAGCACGTTGGCACCACGGACCATGGCGCGGACAGGGATGCACTAGGAGTCGCGGGAGGTTCGGTGGCTGCTCATGTTGGGCTTTCAACACCTGCAGCAGAACCACACACCGATAGCGGTTACATATCTGCACCATCGAACCCACCTGTGGAGGTTCAGCAG